GTTCAGACAACATATTACAGTACAAATATATATCTGTATTTGTGAGTGCTGGTTCAGTTTTGCAGCTTTTCTCAGTTTACAAAGTACTTATCTTCAAAATCTTTTATACTCATATTTAACAAACACTAATAGCTGCAATTGATATATTTTACCAATAGTTTAGTATTCAAGTCCTTTTCCCCAAATCCACGGGGTCACCCCAAATCCACAGGGTCATAGAGTTTAGTCCCAAATCCACAGGGTCATATAATTAAATCCTTTTTCCCGAATCCACGGGGTCATATAGTCCTTTTTCCTGGATCACATCAGGGTCACCATTTGTCTTTTCCCCGAATCATGTCGGGGTCACCATTTGTCGTCTCCTTGAATCACATCTGGGTCACCATGTGTTGTCTTTTGCCCAAATCACATCGGGGGTCACCATTTTTGGTTTTTCCCCAAATCACATTAGGGTCACCATTTTTGGTTTTCCCCCAAATCACATCGGGGATCACCATTTGTCTTTTCCCCGAATCACGTCGGGGTCACCAATTGTGTTTTTCCCCAAATCACATCGGGGTCACCCTTTGTTCTCTTTTTCCCCCAAATCACATCGGGGATCACCATTTGTGGTTTTCCCCCGAATCACGTCGGAGTTACCATTTATTGTCTTTTTTCCCCCAAATCATGTCAGGGTCACCATTTTTGTTTTTCCCCAAATCACATCGGGGTCACCATGTGTTGTCTTTTCCCCAAATCACATCGGGGTCACCATTTGTTCTCTTTTCCCCAAATCACGTTGAGGTCACCAATCTTTAGTAATTGGTTCAGCTGCAACTCTTTAGGGGATAAGATTACATTCTACACCACCTTCATTTACCCATAGTGTACCCCCCTACATTTTGGGGTGTTCCTGGGGGAATTTGGGGTGTTTCTGGAAGGGACCCACCCCGATTCACCCCTCTTTTGTCCCCTGCCCAGCGCCTGGTGGCCATGAACATGCCCCTCAATTCAGATGGCACCGTCACCTTCAACGCGACGCTCTTCGCCCTGGTCCGCACCTCCCTCAAGATCAAGACGGAAGGTGAGGGCGCCAGGAGGGGACAGGGGGACAGCAGGGGGTGACAAGGTGACAATCACGGCTGTGTGTCCCTTCTGTCCCTGTAGGGAACCTGGATGTGGCCAACAAGGAGCTCCGGGCTGTGGTGAAGAAGATCTGGAAGAGGACGAAGCCGAAGCTGCTGGACGAGGTCATCCCCCCGCCCGAGGGTGTGTGAGGGTCTGGGGGGTTTGGGGAG